TTTTTTTTCGAACTCGCAATTCTCCTTTTTTATAAACTGAATAACTGAAACTTGCAGCAATTACGTTACGACATAAATCTTTCCATTCAAGGTTGTATCTTTCTTCGAAAGCGGTCTCATGAGATGAGACACAAAAATTCAAACACTCCAAATTGTTTTTTATCTAAAAACTTCTTAAAATATTGCAAATGTCCAATTCTTCCAGAAGTCCCCCGTTGTTCCGTTTTTTTTTCGCAATGGCTTTCCGGCCATTCTCTTAAAACGCCAGTTTTCAACATTCAAATGGCCATAAGTTTCTTCCGAGACGACACATTGAGATGGTAACCACTGAAATCAACAAGATCGGTACTATATGGTATATGCTCGATTATGCTGAAAGGGAGACCTTTCCCCTGCCATAGGTTTCTATTAGTACTCCAGAGGTCAATCAGCCGAATTCGCTGCACTTTCCTCCACTTTGATTTGTTCTAAAAGCATGGAGTTTCTCTGAAGATTTTTCGCTTGTGCTCACTGGAACATGACGTATTTAGTAAGAAATCTCGCTCCAGGATGCGCCATTCAATTGTCGCGTAGTCGCAGTGGCAGTTGAAAGTCTGTCCTCCTTTGCCACTTAGCCACGCCTTGGCAGCTTCTAATTTTGTGAATGGTACTTGAGGTTACGACCCCCTTCCTCTTCCATTGGCCAATACGATCCCCTAGTTGTTCTTTGCGCAACGAGCGGTTGACCCTGTGGAGGTCTATCCTAGCCCACACGACAGAGCCTGGCAAGCTACTCGTGTGCCTTCAATATGCCGAAAACAGCAATATGGATGGGCCTCATTCCCCTGAACCTGAGGGAGCCCCCAATACGGCAGCGTTGGGTAGGACCGCTCGGGAGAGGCTGCTAGAATCTCAGGGCCCGGATAGGCTGCCTAAACGAAGAAGGACTAAGATGGCGATCTGTACTTTCAACGCACGAACGCTTGCATCCGAAGCTCACATCGAAGATCTGATGATGCATGCCAGGAAGATCAAGTACGACGTCATCGGATTTAGCGAGACGAGAAGGCACCGCCCGCTACACGCCGTTTTCGATACT